CAAAACTTATTTCTACGACCCTTATGTCACACTCCGAACCAAAAAAAGATCTTTAAACCCTTAAAGCGGTGTGTCACCCCTCCTCAAATAATCATTCAGACCCTAAATCGATTCAAACCGCCCTATTAGGGGAGTCGGACTCTCAAAATAATTTTCGTACCCCTAAAACGAGGGGTCGTTCCGCTGTCGGGCAGAGCCACCTACCGGCCGATGGCCTTTCTTTTTCTGAGATAAACAATGTTTTTTATTTCTTTTCACTGTTTTGACTGGGATTGATGTATGCGTGCGTATGAATAAATGCCTTATGAATTATTCTGGATGACTGGATCTTCGTGCTAACCCTTCGATGAACCGGAGAGGCGGGTCGAACTCTGGTCGCAAGCAGGCTCGCGCGGATCAGGATTCGAGGATTGCCGTCAGACTTTGGGGCGAGCCTGTAGAGGCTCCAGGTTGACCACGGTAGACCGTCGAATTACTTAGGTCCCGCGCAGCTCGACTTTTGGGGCCTGCGGCGAGTCGTGATGTTTGTATGGAGACTGCACGGGGCAGGAGCAGGCGATGGCCACGAGCAGGGGTCATCTGTGAGCTACCAGTGAGTAAGCACATCGCCAGTGAGGACCCGCGATGCTCAGCCTCAGGCGGGGTCGCACGGGTTTAAGAAAAAAAAGTTTTGAGGACAGTAGTGGAATGTGGGGCAGGATTTGAAAGCAGGCAGTGGTCGGACTGCGTCGGTCGCGTCCTACAAAGCCTGGTACTTATGGGGCCGTGAGGAAAGGAGACGTGAAGAGATACACGACCATCGAACTCTGCCGGATCCTGAAAGATCGGAGTTTCCGGACCCAAGGCAAGTATTCGAAGGGGAGGTGGCCGACCTTGAGCCGGACGAATGAATGAAGGGGACCTGCAAAGGGCTGCCGAATTGCTCCAAGCAGCACAACGCCGAGAGCGGTACCACTGGGACTAGGTGACGAAAAAGTGTTGGGTGTCGTGGCAAGGGAATACCTTTAGGACAATGACAGATGCCATAGCGCAGTTTTGGGAGATCTGCAAGTGGGCATGTCGGGGATGAGCTCGAAAGAACGACGGAAGGCGAGGCTTGTATTGGCACAAAAGGGAGGAAGTCGGACCGTTCGGACGGCTGTTAAAGAAAAGAGGAGCGATCACGACTGACATGCTTAAATGAGAGGGAGAGGGAGTATAAAGCCAGGAGCGGTAGAAGCTGGGAAAGAAGCTGCCAGGAGTAGTCCCGGTGTCAGAACGCGGAAACCAAAACGTCGATGAGGTAGGGCTCTCGAGCTGAGAAGGGAGGACGGTTGTGCGGAGCGCACGCGCCTCAAATTTTCTTGATAACCGCCTCCAGATAGCAAGGCAAAAAACTGAGGTACGCCGGGGAGGCAACGAGTCACCTGCGAAATGTTGTCTGAGACCGATCCTATGATCGAAGGAGGTGAAGAGCCTATTGGCGGGTTAGTAAGGAGAGGGATGAGGGGTAGTGGAGAGGGAAAAGCGCCGATGGAGGAATGGAAGCGGGAAGAAGGAAAAGTTCGAAAGCGCGGTGTCGAAGGAAAAAAAAAAAAAAAAAAAAGGATGGGATCCGAAAATCGAGCGGGAAGTCACCGGCGGGAGACAAAACCGGTGGTAAGCGAAGGGAGGTGACGGGTTGTTTGCATAATTCGAGACTGATCCTGGGCTCAAAGGGGCGTAGGAGCTTATTGGAGGATTGGTGAGGAGAGGGATACTGGGTAGTGGAGGGGGGAAAGTGCCGAGGGAAGGAAGGAAGCGGGAA